ATATGAACTCACTCATTTCAAATGAATATAATTTTTGACTTGAGCAACGAATTAGAAAACTATCTTTACAAAAAATGTAGACTGAAATGTCACCTTTTAAGTACATGTTTTTTTGAGAAAATCGGGTGAATGTTGACCGATATATAGGTATCAACACGGTGGCAAGAAACTGTGGAGACTTTTTATATGACCCAATATGATTATTCTTATTTATAAAGAAGAAAATTATTATATAAAATGTGATTTAAAAAAAAAAATAAATATAAAAAAGATATTTAAGTAATTGGTTCTGTTAAGAACTCAAAGACTGTTGCTTTGAATCATGTGTTCCTTACCGGCTACCATTAGACCGTGGTAAAAGTAACGTAATTATATTTTTTAATTATATTTTATTTTATTTACCTCAAGTGGAGAATCGAGGAAAAACACACGGAAGCTCTAGCTACGGTGTCCACGATTCTGACACTAATCTTCCTCATAGAAGTCATTATGAAAAACATTGCTTTTACACCACGTGGCTATTGGCAGTCCAGAAGAAACAGATATGATTTGCTCGTGACAGTCGTGGGCGTTATTTGGATCATCATTCATTGTACAATGAAGGTATGTTAAAAATAAATTTAATTTTATTTGATGATGTTGTATTAAAAATGCATAATATAAAAATTAATTTGATCTTTTTTTACAGAATGATTTATCATATCTTATTGGCTTCATGGTTGTAATTCTTAGATTCTTTACAATCACTGGCAAACATACAACACTCAAAATGTTAATGCTGACCGTTGGTGTATCTGTTTGCAAAAGTTTCTTCATCATATTTGGAATGTTTCTCTTGGTATTCTTCTATGCATTAGCAGGAACTATTATTTTTGGAACAGTCAAATATGGAGAAGGGATAGGAAGGTATAATATTAATTAGTTAATATATATTTTATGATTATTAAAAAATAAATTAATTTATGTATTTATATTTTATAGACGCGCCAATTTTGAATCACCTGTTACTGGTGTAGCAATGCTCTTTCGCATTGTCACTGGAGAAGATTGGAATAAAATAATGCACGATTGCATGGTGCAACCACCTTATTGTACCCCTGCTGCTAATTATTGGGAAACGGATTGCGGGAATTTTCATGCGTCTCTAATTTATTTCTGTACATTTTATGTAATTATCACTTATATCGTCCTAAATCTTTTAGTAGGTATGTTTATATATAAACTATATTTTGTCTATCATCCATTTGCAAATATATTACGAATACATATAAATATTAATTAAAATATAAATAATAAAATATTAATTCAAGTTATTTTTAACAGCTATTATCATGGAAAACTTTTCTTTATTCTATTCAAATGAAGAAGATGCATTACTTTCTTATGCTGATATAAGAAACTTTCAAAATACTTGGAATGTTGTTGATAATCATCAGAAAGGTGTTATACCAGTAAAAAGGGTATGTTTATAAGAAGTTTCTAGGCAAAGAATATATATACTTATTATTTAACAACAACTAATAATATACAACGTGCCCCATAGGTAAAGTTTATTTTACGATTATTGAAGGGAAGATTAGAAACAGATCCGCAAAAAGATCGTTTGTTATTCAAATATATGTGTTACGAATTAGAAAGACTTCATAATGGAGAAGATGTAACGTTTCATGATGTTATCAAGTATGTTTCACCCTATATATCTATTAAGATAATATAAAATAATATTAATCTGCATAAAAATATATAATGTATTATTTATTTTTATAGCATGTTATCTTATCGATCTGTGGATATTAGAAAAGCACTTCAGTTAGAAGAATTACTTGCAAGAGAAGAATTTGAATACATTATCGAAGAAGAAGTTGCAAAACAAACAATTAGAACTTGGTTGGAAGGATGCCTGAAGAAGATACGAGCGGTAGGAGTAAGAAAAATCATTTTATTTACATCGAAATAGTTATAAATAAAATGAAACCTTGATTAAAATATAGTATAATTTTAAAAACTCTAGAAACAAAACAGTTTGCTAGCAAACCTTCGAGCTACAAATGATACCGCAATAGCTCTACAAGATCATATTGAAGATAAAAGTAAAGAAATAACCAAGGAACGTGAAGAAGATGATGAAGGAAAAGTAAGTTATATTTTATATATTATTGAAGTGAAAACTTCTTTAAAATGGGTGTGATTTGAAAAAATGAAATGCGGTGATGTAGTGGAGGAAAGAAACGGCTTTAATACTACATAAGAAGAGAAAAAGAGACAAACATATCATTATTTATAAAAATATTTGATTTGCAAGCATTTTTTAAAGTGTTTTATTATTTACTTTCTTTGTAATTATTATAAAAATGGGCGCCTGTATGAATGCAACCCTCCAAACACACTTTGAAAATGTTGCTTGCGAGCACCATCTGTTGGGACAGAATTTTTTTCTGCCCGACAGATAGGCAACCTGTCATACATACGTGTACAAACAGTTTTGACTGCAAAATAATTTCGTCCCAGTAGATAGCGCTCGCAAACAACATTTTCAAAGTGTGTCTGGAGGATTGCATACGAACAGGCGCGCATTTTTATAATTAAATTACAAATTAAATAAATAATTACAAATTAAATAAATAATTACAAATTAAAAGTACAAATAATATTATATAATAAATTATCCTCGAAACTTGTTTATTTGAAGGTTTCACTTCTAACTTGTGTGAAATGCATACATGTTTTTATTTATATTTATATTTGTATTTTAAATAATTATGATGAACAATATTTATTTTATTAGGATGTAGACGGAATGCGTCATAGAGCAAAGAAACCTGTAGTATTACCAAGATCAGACAGCATTGGAAGTGGATCAGGTAGAAAATATCTTGCTCCGACATTATCAGATCCTGCTTCTGTAAGATCTGATAAAGATAAAATTCCTGTATCTAAGAAAAGAAACAGCAGACCACCACGTAAATTGATTTCATTGAACAATTTCTTTATCAAAATTCTAATGGATATAGTAGAATATTTTTCATTTATTATTTATACTTTCAGCTACAGTCAAAAATAATCTGCCACATCTAACAGAAAATACAGAACAAAATAGACAGCAGAGAGAGCCTGTTAACACTAAATTGAGTACACCTAAAATTTCTAGCGTTTTGCTTGAAGTCCGAGAATGGTGGAAAGAGCAGTTAGCTTACAGTAGCGAGTCCAGCGAAGAAGATTAGAAGATGTACAAAAAAGATATTAGATAAACTGACATATATATATATATATAAAAAGAAAACAGAAAATATAAAATTCAAGATAAAATAAGTATAATATACGTGCCTAACTATTTCAAATAATCGTCCTAATGGAGATTTTCTACGCCCATATGTCTTTTCAATTAATGGTTTGCCAAATATTACATTTTAAAATGATATATTTTTAAAAAGATACGTATATAAATAGATTTTATATTGAGTGATCTTTTCCTTTTTTCTATTGTAACATACAGAAGGACTGATATTAGTATCGCGCGTAAATTATATCAATTAATTTATAATTTTATTTTTGAATGTTTAAAACGATTACTGCATGAAACAATATAATTTATTGTTATACTTGATCTTTTTATAGAAAATATTTTTTTTTGTCATAAAAATATGTTATAAATATAAAATGCTTCCCATCTTTTGAAGTAGCAACATTTTAATTATTTTAAAAGACTATAAAATCACTGCCACATAAGATTTGTAATTTATTGAAGTAACACTTATTAACTTCATTTCATTTYATTTAACAAGTGCGAAATATATCGTTAATAATATTTTTGACTTTATTTTTTTAATAAATTTATTTTATGTTTACAATATCATTAGAAAAAACGAAAGGAATGATTCTTTAGTTTAATGATAATTGTTTACATATTGTGTCCCATAAAAGTTGAACATGTATAATATAAAAACAAAACAGATTTTATACTCTAAATCATCGAATCATAGTTAAAATGTATTTGTTTCATATTAAAGAAAGATAATTATAAGAAAGAGAAATAGAGAAAGAGAGAGTACAATGTAGTACACTTTATTGAATTAAAAAAAAAGATAAATAAAAATGATTTTATCTTCTTAAAATACAGGTAAAAATTATTATATATAAATCACATTAATTGCAAATTTTTAACAATTCTCATTAAAAATAATTAAGTTTTGTATAATAGTAATATAATTTACAAATTATATTCTTTTACAAAAAGAATTACAATAATAAATAAATAAATAAATTGTTATTAACTTCTATGTCACAATAAGCGCGATCGGCACAAAATGTTTGTTATATACAATAGATGATGCAAAGTTTAAAGGAATTTCTTAAGAAATACAATTTGAATTGAAATTTTAAATTTGAATTATTATATATGTTAAGATTACAAAAATAATAGAAAGAAAGAGAGCTAGAGAAAAAGAGAGAATTAATTAAGTATAATTGAGGAATGTCTTATTTATTAAAACTGTTATTAACATAAAATGAATAAGATATAATAAATCATTAAATGCATAATATATGAAACAAATCAAACATATACGTATAAGTATAAATAAAAGCGAAAATGACAACAAGGAGCTTTTGTATAAAAAAGAAATAAAGTAAAAGAAACATGAAATTATGATAATGAGAGATATCAAGAATAAAAATACCTGAATATTACTTAAATATAATTAAAGTTATACATAGTGCAGCAATTTATATATATATATATATATATATAAAATGTAGAATGACATATTTACATAAAAAATCCGAAAACCTAGCTATTGCATATATTGTGTTTATATTTCTGTAATGAATGTTGATTATTGTTACTAGTTTACGTGGCAATATGTTGTGTATTGTATATATACATATAAAATTAATAAATGTTAATAGATAAAATTATTTTTGTTTATATTACACAAAATTGTATAAAAAAGAGAAAAAATTTTAGAATATATATATAAATTTTATTTGAATAATATATGCATTATTAAATTAATTGTTATAAAAAAGTATATTATATCAGGAAAATATTATCATCCGCAGACATAATTTGATTGTCGTCTGTCATTTTATTAATAGCAGCAGTTATCTCTGAAGGTGTAAAGTTGGGAGTGTGTTGCTCATCCAAATAAGCACGAACTCGTGAAATAGGTAGAGTTTGAACTCTTTGTTCTTGGAATAATTTATGAAGTAAAGTTCGAAAAACTTTCAATCTAAAATGAACAAAACAAATAAAGGTATGTTACCAATCTTCATGTATATAATATAAAGTGATACTATTTACATTCTTTTACTTAATAAAAACATTTAATTGATCTTTTTTGTTATACCTGTCTTCTGTAATTGTTCCAGATGATGTCTCCGTTGTAGCTTCTTCACTACTTAAGACTGAACTCTGAGAATCTTTAGCAATTGAAGAAGTACCAGCAGAAGTACCAGCAGAAGTACCAGTAGAAGTACCAGTAGAAGTACCAGCAGAAGTAGATGCTTTTTGAGATCGAGTTAATCTTGTAGTCTTTTTGTTCAAACTAGTAGTAGATTCATCTATATCACTTGTATATTCATAAGGATCATTGGTAGATGATGTTCCCTGCGTGTCCTGACTTTTTTTTGAACGTTTTGAACGCTTACTTTCTCCACCTTCTTCGCTTTCATCACTGTTTACGCTAGCATTACTATCACGTCTTCTACGCTTTCTTCTTTCTTTTTCTAATACTCTCTTGAAGTAAGCGAACTGTATCAATTCAATAGCTGCCTGCGCATCTTCAGCAGTAATATTTTTGGATAAACGTGCTTTTGCATGTGCAGTAGACAATCTAATCATTGTTTCTAAAGTACGAGCTGTTACTGGTTGAGTCTAAAAAATATAGCATATAAAAAAATAATAAAAAGTAATAATTTCATTTCAATAATATTTTAGTTATAGAATACATAATACGATACCCTTGCAACATCAGATTCAAGCATATCTTCCGATCGAAGTTTCGAATATTCGTCGGCTATAACTTCACTGGCTTCTTCTGTTAATTTCGGTTTCATACAACGTGCTATATGAATATATTTTCTCATAAAATTTATGCTCAGAATTTGATCACTGAAAAAATTAATTTATTTAGCATAATATTATTAATATTATAATAATTAATTTATTAATTTTAATATACTTTTTGGCGCAGGATTGCCCATGCAACATGGGATCATATTTCTGATAGACTTGTTTTTCTATCTCTTCGGAAAGTTCTTCATCCTGAGTTTTGGTTGTTAACATATCTAATTTACTATTTAATGGTAATGCTTCTCCATCTTGCTCCGTTGGATTTCTATATCTGTGCATTCTCACAACATGATCACCGATTATATTATCCTGATCTGAATCTATTGTATCCAGCATTACAAATAATAAATCAAAACGCGAAAGCAAAGAATCTTGCAGTCCTATATTTTCCATTGGTGTTTTGTATTGATCATACTGTAAAAATATTTACGAACTTATTGTTATTAATTCAAAATAATATTTAAATCAATTTTTTTGGTACTTAAAAATAATTTCATTACCCTTCCATAAACAGGATTGGCAGCCGCTAAAACCGAACAACGTGCATTTAAACTTGCATGAATGCCAGCTTTAGCAACAGTAACCTTTCCTTGTTCCATTACTTCATGAATAGCAGTCCTATCAAGATCTGACATTTTATCAAATTCATCAATACAGATAACACCACGATCAGCCAAAACCATAGCACCTGCTTCAAGTCTACGTTCCCCAGTTTCTTGATCCACTGTAACTGCAGCTGTTAAACCTACACCAGAGGAACCTCTACCAGTAGTTGCTATTGCGCGTGGGGCAGAACACAATACGTATCGTAAGAGTTGCGATTTTGCTACGGATGGATCTCCAATAAGTAGAACATTAATATCTCTATCAAACAAAATAAAAGTTCCAAAGTTTTTATTTTAAAATGTAAATCAAAATTATCATATATCATCATTTTTATCTGATATATGGATTAACGTATTAAAAAAAAATCTCATACCCTCTGAGTCTTGTGCCATTGGGTAAAAGTTTTTCCACGCCACCAAGTAGAAGACATAAAATAGCCTTTTTAATATATTCGTTTCCATGTATGGAAGGTGCTAAAGATTTACTCAAAAGTTCGAAAATATTTTTACATGGATTACTTTTAGCTAGTTTTTTACACATTGCTATGTCATCGTGTGAAATTGAGAGACTGGCTTCTTTGCTTAATTGCATAACATTATTAGCAATTACAACTGTTCTGTAAAGAATCAGAAGAAATTTAAAATTTATGAAAGTGATATTTGAGCTTTTATGAAAAAGAAAGGAAATATTTTAAAAAAGAACCTGAATGTGCCATTTGTATAGCCTCCTTGTTTTCCTGGAAGACATCTATAATTTCCTACAATTTGAACTCGATCACCTGGTTTACATAAATCTACTAAGTCGTTATCACAGATAACATCAACACTGCGCGGCAGCTGTCCAGCTGGTGCCTTTTCAGGCATTTCTTGGATCGTAAGAGTCTGATGATCTTTATAAGTAGATAAACCAAATTCTGTTTCAAGTGGATTTCCATCTTCGTCCTTAAATATAAAAATATATCTGTTGCAAATGTAAAGTAATTAATAATCAAATCTAAGTTAATTGTGTGTAAGAGTAATTACCGTAGTAGGATACACAGCTGATTGTGGAAATGCTTCTATTGAAGTTAAATCTGTATAAGCTCTTTCGATAACTGTTTTTGTTGTACTACAATAATGAACACTACGTACAACTTTAGGTTTCACAAAGGAGCCTTAAGTAAAAAGATTACATATATAAGCTATGAATTTATAACATTATCCTTAAGTAATAATATATACGTAAATGTAATTACTTACATTTAGTCACGATGCCTTCAATACATACTAAATTACCCAAGAAACGTGAAGTTAAAGTTCTTGGTGTGACGTGCTTGTTTCCAAAACTTCCTTCAAATGCTATAAAAAAATCTGTATTACCTTTGGCATAATCTGTATCTACATTGGCAACAAATTGTTTCAATGCATTCTGAAATGCTAATTGTTCCTCAAAAGAATTGTTCAATAAACTGTAATTAAAAAACAAAAAAATAATAGAATTAAGAATAAAATGGTTTGTAATTTTAATATGTTGTTCAAATAAGATTTGAAAAAGAATTGTGAATATACCTGACAGCCCGTGCAGGATTTTTTCTTCTTAAATCATTTATATTTACATGCAATCTATATCTGTTTTCTTCAATCATATTTTTAACCAGAGTTGCATATATACCCTGATCTTCCTATAATAATTAAATATATATTTTAAACATTTTTTAAATATATATTCAATTTATATAATGTAGAAATAAAATAATATACCATATCATCCAAGAAATCAACATATTCTCGTTGTAATTCTTCGAGTCTTTGATCTATATCAATTGAATTCATGTTTTTTGATAATTTTATATCTTATTAACTAAAAATATTTACATTAAACAGACAAAACAGTATGAATAAACTCAAAAACTCAAACAATTCCGTAGAACGATTTAACGCGGGAAAACAAAATAACCGTAAGGCATGTTTACACATTCACCAATCAGGTTTAAGAGTTTTCATAAAATCGAATATGAGTGTAGAGAGTAAAGTGTAACTCCCTATTAACTCCGGCAGATAGCGCAGCTGTCGCCGCTGCCAACCGCGTTAGCAGCAAGATGTACTAGGGGAATTTTACCCGAGTCACTCTTGGCAGGCGGAAGTCAAGACGACAAGACAATAAAAGACATTGTCAAGACATTACTCCTGTCATGTGTGAAGTTCATTTTGGCTGCTGCGCCAACTGCCGGAGTCAGTCGAGAGTTACGTTTTACTCCCTACATGAGTTATTTATTTTGAACATGGCCTAAGTTCACTTAGACATTGTTATTGTGATTGTAATAACGTATACAAGTAGAAGTTAACTGTCAAAAAAAACATTTTATGGAAAAAAGAAAATGAACTTAGGTCACTTTAAAAAAAAAACGACTCATATATAAGTTAATATAATTATTATTATTCAATATTAAATGAACGTATTTTTTTCATTATTATAGACAATTATTAGTATTTAATTGAAATAAATTCTAAAATTTATGAAATAGTATTACTCAAATATTATTGGTCATTCGAAATTTTTCAAAATGGCAATATTCCTCGTATTGTAATCTGGATTTATCCAACATATTAAATGATAGAATTAGTCTTGTTAAAGTTAATGTAAGATAAAAGTGAAAATACAGTATTACAGTATATTTATTATTTTATAATTTATATATAAATATTATTACAAATCTATTCTAATTTAATTATCGTTAATTTGTTGAGGATTAATATATATATATATACATATATATATATATACTTCCAATTAAAAAATTACTATAAATTACAACTGTTATATATGCATAAAAGAATTATGTTTATTTTTTACTTTTTTATTATTTACTAGCCTATTGTAAAATCAACTTTAGTTTACTGGATAAGCATAGAATAAAATATTGAAAAGTATTGAGAACGGGCAGGAAGTGGTTTTAAACGAGGAAGAAGAGGGATGTAGAGGAAGGGAGGAAGAAAAACAACTTGATTACACATATGATAAAAAGTTCGAAAAAGTGTTAATTTTTGTCTATATATATATACATCTATGTATATATTCATAGACATATTTTTTTATGGATTAAGTGGTGTGTTTTACTTTGTCAAAATCTGGAAGATAGTGAATCTTGCAAGTGGTTTATCGTAATTTATATCATACGCATGATATTTAATCGTATGTTGATATAATGAACTTCACAGTACCTTGACAACATATGTAATTTTGAAATGTCAACATGAAATATAAATTGGTGCTTTTTTCTTTTCTTTTTTGTTGAAACAGTCAAGACATTGTAGATACAAAATGTTTCATATTTAATATATATTTTAATTACAATATCAGTCATATTGGACTCGAAAATTTAACAAGACTATTCTTTTTTTTATGTCATGTATTTGTAAAGGAAAAAGATTTCTTTTTCTTAAATGAAATATATACAGAGATTTTTTAATATTATTTAATTATTTTCGTTATCAACATTTATCATTTTATTATCGTCTATATATATATATATATATAATATATTAAAAAAGAAGAAATTTATTTCCTCATGAGATTTATATATTTTGATATGTCATAAAATACTTATAAATATGCATGATAGTTTAATGTATTATTTATTTTAATTTATAGGTAGTGGAACATGATTTTATCTACTTATAACGCATGCTATATAATAAGTACTTCCGATGATATAAAAGTACTGAACAAGTTACTATCAATGTTTCTGATAACCGACGATGTAAATAGATGTTAATTATAATTAAAAAAAAAAAATTAGAAAAGCTTTGATTTAAATAGATTGATACACATAATTAATAATCATGGGTTCTATAACTATGGAAGAATGTGAACTTATGAAAGATTCCAAGTATCGTGTGTAAGCATTAATTAACATAATTATATATTGTTTAATTATATTGATAAAAAATGTAAATTATCTTTGCAAAAGTAATCAGAATATAATTGAAAATTATGAATAAGAATAACTGATAATTATATTAATTTTATCTGTACAGCTATGTCTCAGCCGTAGACAAGGCTTTGAAAAATTTTGAATATACTAGCGAATGGGCAGATCTTATTTCTGCACTTGGGAAATTAAACAAAGTATTATTGAATCATATGAAGTTTCCAGTTATTCCAAGAAGAATAAAGATATCTAAGAGATTAGCACAATGTATGCATCCTGCTTTGCCTTCTGGTGTTCATTTAAAAGCTTTGGAAACTTATGATACCATTTTTAAATGTATGGGTACAAATAGACTCAGTCATGAACTTTTTATATACAGTGCAGGTAATTTAATTTCAGTTGTTTATGTGTTTCTGTCTAGAATAGTTTTAAAATAGAAACGTACTATAGATTTTGAAATTGAGAAAAATTGATCTATAATCWTTATTATTATTCATTCTCCAAGGTCTTTTTCCATTATTGGGTCATGCTGCTATGAATGTAAGACCATCTTTATTAACAGTATATGAAACTCATTTTGTACCTCTTGGAGAAAGGCTAAGACCAGGGTTGAGTGGATTTCTAAGCGGCGTACTTCCTGGTTTAGAAGATGGTTCCGATCATTTTGATAGGTATAATTAAAATCTATCAAGAAAACAATTCATAATTTATGAATATTTAATCACTTTATAAATTTATTATTAGGACTAATTCTCTGTTAGAGAAAGTATGCGAAGGAGTAGGCGCAGAGCATTTTTATGCATGCTTATGGGATTGTTTGGCTTCAAATTCTGGAATACGATTACCTGCTATATCTTTTGTACTGTCACATTTAAATAAGAAAATACCTATGGAAGAGCAGAAGTTTATTATGGGTACTGACAGCGACATTATGGTATATATTTAAAAAGTCACAAAATTATAAATTTTTCAAACGTCAAATTCGCAATATGCAGAGTGTCCTGTAATTGATAAATTTTTTAATTTATTTTTCTCGAAAGTAAAATCTTATCCTATTGTTAGCCTTCTATTCTCTTGTATCAACAGTTATAGGACATCCTTTATATTTGTATATTATATACAATATTAACTTTTGTTTTCATAAAGATTACTGCATTATGTGCTGGAGTGCAAGATAGTTCAGTTCTAGTACAAAGAAGCGCTTTGGATTTATTATTGGTTGGTTTTCCTGTACATAATAGTTTATTATTATATAAGGATATGGTATTGTTAATAACAGCTGCTCTTACCACGATATTAAGAAGAGACATGAGTTTAAATAGGTAAACATTTTTAAAATAAATCTAATATTTATTAATAGTGAAAATATAATATGCAATTTTGTTAGACGTTTATTTGCATGGCTATTGGGAACCGAAGTAAATACATCAATCTTAAAAACAAAAACTCCTTCAACTACTAATGAAGTCACAGAGGATACTGTCACTTATTTCGATACATATGCAAAAGAAATGTTAATCGAAGCTATCAAATCATTATTAAAAAATAGTTGCAAGGAAAATCCTCAAGATTTAAAACCATATAGAATATTGGTTTCATTGTTAGACAAATCAGATATCGGACCAATAATTCTAGATGATATTTTGTTTGAAATTTTTAGGTAAATAAATGTACACGGGGTATTATTATAATAATTATTTAAAAATAACATTAACTATATTGAAATGGAATTACATTTTTTATGTTTAAATTTATAGAACTTTTTATATTGCTTGTGGACACTCAAGTAAAATACCGAAAACCAATGAAGTTGTCAAATCAGCAAATTTACTATTTTCAACATTGGAGCCATCTTATGTTTGGATACATTGTGGTTTTTTGTTTGAAAAAGCTTGCCAAGCTAGAATTAAAACCCAGTGCGAAATAAAAGATATGGTTGTTAAATCTATTGGTGATGGAATGCCAAATTTAATTGAAATATGTGTATTAACAGAATTTCTATTAGATACTGTATCATTGGATACATTTATAGATACTCCTTCTGACCATTTACCTACTTTATTTTACAATATTATTAATAAATTGTTGTGCCATATTGATCTGCTTTCTTGTATGGAAATCTCTAAGAGTCTTCAACTATGTGCAAAAATTCTATCCAAAGTGCAACCAACAGTAGTGACAAGTCAAACGGGAAAACTGGAGATAGATTCTAAATTAGATTCTTCTCAAAATAATGCTATTACAAGCAGCAACGATAATTCTTTAATAGCAATTCCATTGGAAAAAAGTCAATCAGATAGTAAATTAAACAAAGCGGACGCTATGAATAATTCCTACAACGAAAAAAGTCCTAATCTTCGAAGAAGGGCCAATTCTGGTGGTACTACTAAAAGAATAGAAAAAAAATCGAAGAAAAAAGGTAGTAGAAGTATTTCTAAACTGAATGATGCTTCTGTAACGCAAACTGACGATATTAATGTTTCGGTAACGATTAATGAAGATTTTAAATTATTACCAAGAAATAAAAGCATGGAAAATATACAAACGGATCCTGAAGAGATCGCAAAAAATACATTAGAAGAAAAATCAAGTATATTAAAACATAACTCCGTACAGAACTATATGGATTCAACTAATTCTTTGAGAAGAGAAACATCTCCGGCATTTCAAGCTCAACATTCTATGTTAGAAAAATGTTTACGTCAATATGAAATTTTTTATGTGAAATTAATCAGCAACAGGGTACTTTCAAAAGAAAAGACTGTACAGAATATGTTTAATGATTTATTAATTTCTTCCCCTAGAGAAAGTTTTAACGAAAGAATGCATTATTTAGAATACTTATTAAACTCCAGATTAAATTTAGAAGATTCTGGATTTTTTAGTCAAGATGTATCCGTTGTCGAAGATGTCAAATGTTTTAATATTCTCCACTCATATACTGACACGATTGCTCAATCTGAATGGGAAGAATCTGTTAAAATAGCATCAAGTTTA